TGGGATGCAAGGGTGCTGCAATATTTGCAAATCAATTAATGTGATACATCACAACAACAACAGAAAGTATTTTAAAAAATGATCATTTCAATAGATGCAGAAAAAGCATCTGACAAAGCACAGTGTCCTTTCATGATAAAGACCCTCAACAAAGTAGGTTTAGAGGGAGCTTACCTGAGCATAATTTTATTCAGCATAGTACTGGAAGTCCTAGCCACAGCAATCAGAAGAAAAGAAATAAAAGGCATCCAAATTAGTAAAGAGAAGTAAAAGTTTAATTATTTGCAGATGACGTGATAATATATAGAGAAAACCCTAATGATGCCACCAAAAAACTATTAGAACTACTAAATGAATTCAGAAGGGTTACAGGATACACACTTGATAAGTAGAAATCTGTTGCATTTTTATACATTAATAGTGAAGTAACAGAGAAATTAAGAAAATAATCCCATTTACAATTACACCAAAAAGAATGAAATACCTAGTAATAAACTTAACCTAGGGGGTGAAAGATGTCTACTCTGAACAGTACAAAACACTAATGATGGAAATTGAAGATGACACAAATGGAAAGACCTCCCATGTTCATAGATTGGGAGAACAAAATTATTAAAGTATCCATACTACACAAAGCAATCTACAGATTTAATGAAATCCCTTTCAGAATTCCAACAGCATTTTTTTCACAAAACTAGAACAAATCATCCTAACATTTGTATGGAACCACAAAAGACCCCGAATGACCAAGGCAGTCTTGAAAGAGAAGAACAAAACTTGGAGGTATCACAATCCCAATTTCAGGATATGCTACAAAGCTGTAGCAATCAAACCAGTATAGTGCTGGCACAAAAACAGATATATAAATTAATAGAACACAATAGAAAGCCCAGAAATAAACCCACAATTATAATGGCTGACTAATTTTCCACAAAGGAGGCAAGAAAATGTAATGGGAGAAAGTATCTTTAATAAATACTGTTGGGAAAACTGGACAGCTACATACAAAAGAATGAAGCTGAACCATTTTCTTACATCAGATACAAAAATACACTCAAAATGGATTAGGGACATATGTGTGAGACCTGCAACCATAAAAATTCTAGAAGACAGCACAGGCAATAATTTCTCTGAGGTTGGTCATTGCAACAATTTTTTTAGATAGGTCTCCTGAGGCAAGGGAAACAAAAGCAAATATAGACTACTGGGACTACATCAAAATAAAAAGCTTCTGCACAGCAAAGGAAACCATCAACAAAGCTAAAAGACAAACTACTGAATGGGAGAAGATATTTGCAAATGACATATCCAGTAAAGGTTTAGAAAAAATATAAAAAACTTTCACAACTCAGCACCAAAAAAAAAAAATTCCTATTAAAAAATGGACAGAAGACATGAACAGACATTTCTCCAAAGAAGACATACAGATGGCCAGAAGACATAGGAAAAGATGATGACATCACTAATCATCAGGGAAATGCACATTAAAATCATGGTGAAATACCACATCATACCAATCAGCCTGGCTAAAATAAAAACACAAAAAAAAGTTGGCAAGGATCTATTAAAAAAAAAAAAAGGAGGGGGGAACCTTATGCATTTATGGTGGGAATACAAGCTGGTGCAGCCACTGTAGAAGACTGTATGGAAGTTCCAAAAAAAAAAAAAAAAAAAGAAAAATAGAATTACCAAATGATCTAGTAATTCCACCACTGGGTATTTACCTAAAGAGTATGAACAGTAATTTGAAAAGATATATGCACCCCTGTGTTTACTGTGGCATTATTTACCATAGCCAAATTATGGAAGCAGCCTGTTCATCAGTAGATGAATGGATAAAGAAGATGTGGTATATATCCACTATGGAATATTACTCAGCCATTAAAAAAGAATGAAATCTTGGGGTGCCTGGGTGGCTCAGTGGGTTGGGCCTCTGCCTTCGGCTCATGTCATGGTCTCAGGGTCCTGGGATTGAGTCCTGCGTCGGGCACTCTGCTTGGTGGAGAGCCTGCTTGCTCTTCTCTCTCTGCCTGCCTCTCTGCTTACTTGTGATCTCTGTCAAATAAAGAAATAAAATCATTAAAAAGAAAGAATGGAATCTTGCCATTTGCAACAACATGGATGGATCCAGAGGGTATAATGCTAAGTGAAGTAAGTCAGACAGAGAAAGACAAACACTATGATTTCACTCCTATGTTAAATTTAAACACATCAAATCAACAAAGAAAAAGAGACAAATAAGAAAAAAGAATCTTAAGTATAGAGAACAAACTGATGGTTACCAGTGGGGAGACTGGTGGACAAATATATGAAATAGGTAAAGGGGACTAAGAGTTCACATAACGTGATGAGCACTGAAGAATGTATAGAGTTGTTGAATCACTGTATTATGCACCTGAAACTAATAAAACACTCTTTTAATTGTACTGGAATTTTTAAAAAAGAATAAAAAATTTTAAAATGATCTTTTGTAAGCCTCAAATGTTTACAATAAAAAAATATGGAAAGAGCCCAGATGTCCATCAATTGATGAATAGATAAAGAAGATGTGGTATATGAAGATACAATGGATTATTACTCAGCCATCAAAAAGAATGAAATCTTGCCATTTGCAACAACATAGATGGAACTAGAGGGTAGTATTGATTTTGAAGCAAAATCAATCAATCAGAAAAACAATTATCATTTGGTCTCACTCATGTGGAATTTAAGAAACAAAACAGAGGATCATAGGGGAAGGGAGGGAAAAATAAAGTAAGATGAAATCAGAGAGAGAGACAAACCATAAGAGACTCTTAACTCTAGGAAACAAACAGGGTTGGTGGAGCGGAGGTGGGTGGATGTTGGGATAACTGGGTGATGGGCATTAGGAGGGCACTTGAAGTAATGAGCCCTGGGTGTTGTAAGCAACTGATGAATCACTGAATAATACCACTGAAACTAATAATACAGTATATGTTAATTAAATTGAATTTAAATTAAAAATTTTAAGTGAAAGAACAGGTTGGTTATTTTTTTACAAGGTTTCCATGTTATGCGGGGAATTCTGGACAGGCTTAGAGAAGTATAACATTTCAGATCACCTAATAGGGACAAAGGAATGATGGAATTCTAATGCATTGGAAGAAAACAAAGAAATATCTTTTTTTTCCCATTACATAAGTGTACTGTAATTTTTAAGCCCAGTACCTTCTAGTCATAAGCATTTAGTTTGTTTCTTTATGTTTTCCTATAACTAGCAGTGCTGCAAGCAATATATTTTATGCAAATCCTGGTCATGCTACTGACAGTAAATTCCTAGCAGTACAGTGCTGGAAATAGGGTATGTGCGTTTTACTTTTGCTAGATGCTACCAAGTAGCCCCCATGAAAAGATTGTCCTAATTCATACTCCCATCATAGGTATATGGTAGTGCTTATACCAACAATATTTAATTTTCGGATAAAATAATCAACGTTTTTGTGTCATCTTATTAAAAGGATCTTGTGTTTTCTGAATCTTAAGAAAATATGTAACTCCTTTTTATTTTTCTTAGATCCCAAGTGAGGTCAGCCTGCTTCAGGTCAACTCTGAGGGAATTGAAGGAGGCAGGGAAATAGTGTGTTTAGTAGTTGCTAGTTTATGACCCATCCCCTAGCTTCTCTGGGCTATGAGGGAAAGTGGCCTCTGAGGAGGCACTTGAGCTTAAGGAATCCAGTGGAACTTGTCTGTGGGGAAGGTGGGCAAGTCCTTAGCCTCTTCTCTTTGTAGAGAGAAGAAAGCCATCTGGACAGGGAGCACATACTAGGACCTTTTTGTTTCTCTTTTCAAATAAAAGAACCATATGTATTATATATACTCTTTACCCCAAATTAAGATAATATATACAGACCGTTTTGAGATATTTCATGATTGAAAAGACCTGTATATAGATATAAAATAACAGTGACTACCGAATTTTAAGTGCATGCTAAGTTCCAGATACTGTGCTAAGCATTTTAAAAGTACCTATATCAATTTCTTAAAATAGCTAGAGGTCTATTCTTATTCTTCAGTTCTGGAAATAAGTGCTTAGAGATTTCATACAACTTAGAGATTTGAACTGTGGTCTGTGTGGAAGTTGCTGTGTGATTTATCCTCTGTAAACTTGCTGACACCTGAATAGCACAGAATCCGTAGTACTTCTTACTGTACTAGCTGTATGATCTGGGGCAAATTACTTAATCTCTCTGTGTCTCCATTTCCTTCTCCGAAAATGGGGATATTATTAATAGTCTCTTTTAGGCTTGTAGGGTGGTTTAAATGAATATATGCCAACTGCTTAGAACAGTGCCTGGCACAAAGTAAGGGCAAATGCTAAATGCTAACATCATCATCATCAACATCAGGATTAGTCCCTTCTGAGGGAAATGGGATGCCTAACTACTGATAATAAATACCCTTAGAATATGGAGCAAAGACCACCTTCTACATCCATGAGCTCAGAAATTCATCATCAGTCAACAAGTATCTTCCAGGCTCAAAGAGAAGTAGGAGACAAGGTCTCTACCTTTAAGTCATTACAACCTAGTTAATAAACAAAACGGAACTCATGTGGAGTGCTTCAGTGCTGCGTGGGTTTGTACGAACTCAGGTGTGGCCGTGGTAGATGCGGGCTGGCCCAGTCGGAGGAGATTTCTGGAGGAGCTGGGACTGGAGTTGGGCTACGCAGAGAGGGTGGGACTGATGTGCAGGCATTCCAGGGGAGGGCAGCTGTGGAGGAGAGGAATAGAGGAAGCCTGGTGGGGAGGAGCAGGACCACACGGAACCTGAGAGTGGGCACTAATGAGCCTTAGATCTGGCTCCTAGAGGAGGTGTACTTCTAAAACAGAGAGCAGGTCATTGTTACTTAATCTCATCAGCTTTAAGCAAGGGAATATGTGGCTTACAGAATTATCATTTCTGTCACTACTTTCTTGAAAATCTTTGGGAATGATCTTGTTTAGACTTTCAGAGTAAAATTTCTTGTCGCTTTGGCACAGTGAGGAACGCCCAGCGGAAGCACATCCTTGCAGCCCATCAGATCATCCACAGCCACACGGAGGACATGGTCAACAAGGATTTTGTGGAGCAACAGCAAGATGAGGCAGTCTCAGACACGGATGAGTTACCCGAGGGAGAAACTCAAAAATAAGAATCGGGGCTCAGGTGAGGTGGGTTTTTCATCTGAAAGGAGGCAGAGAGGAGGAGAGGCCGCAGCATTCAGTTCTCTGCTCTACTCCAACAACCATGATGTGTTTAAGAAAATGAAACACTCCCATTCAAATTGGCACATTTCATCTAGGTTATGGAATCTACTATTGAAATTCTTAGAGAATAGAGTTGACATTATAGCAACTGGACTCTTGGGTCCAGGAAACAGGATTCTAGGTAATTTTTTATGGGTCCTTAAAGCAGATGATGGCATTCCATCACAAATAAAGCTTAAAATGTGTGTTATAAAAAAGCAGCTTGTTTTTAGGGAGTAGACAAGGAATCCCTGTCTCATCAGGCTGGTTGTAACCATAGCATGAGGCACAGGCTGTCCAATTCTAGCCCAGAGGCCACCTGCTGGCCCTACCAGGAGCTGGTCTTAGGTTCAACTAAACATTCCTGCTCACAAGACTAACATAGACAAGGTTTGATATGAGTTTGGTATCTGTCTACGCAGCAAGAGAGAAGTTGGGAACTGCAGCTCCGAGCAGGGTGGCAGCAAGTGCTTTTCTTTATATGGAAGCTCTTGTCCTGTCCACACAGACACATAGCTACTTTGTCCCCTGGTTACAAAGCTCAGAGGCAAGGAAGAGAGATTTACATTGGGTTGGTGCAGACCTGCCCTGGTTTCCATGCCTTGGGGGCCAGGATGTCTCATAATGATTCCACACACATCGTGTCTGGGTCCCCCTAATGGATCCACTTGGTTACAAAAGTCAGCACACTCAGGAAAACTCAAACCTGTGGTTTCCTGTTAGATATTAATAGTTCATTTATAATTATTTCCAATCAAATGGTAGTTACTTGGTGGTCAAGTAGTGTAGCTTAGTAACATAGTTGATACAAACTACCTTATCAAATTACTAGAACAGAGCTAGGGAGTCAATTGAAAATAAAATTCTCATGAGAATTCTCATAAGAAGGGAAGTGAACCCTTTGCCTATACCTTCTCCCTCAACCCTCCCCTGGTCAAGCACATCAACACTCTTTTGGCCTGAGAGTATGCTATCAGGATAGGGAAGACACAAGGCTTACAGGTAAATTTGAGCCTGGCATTCAGAAGATTTGGATGTTAGCCAGCTCTGCCACTAACTATAATTTTATACAATAATTTCCCTTCACTACAGGTTTGCCTGTGCTTATGTGACCAACAGACCCTGTGCAAGGGAATCTATTAGGGCCTTAAGTTTCAATCAAAGAGGATCGTACAGTGGCTAACTGAACATAATTAAAAACAAACAAAGAGGATCATAGAAGGGATATTGAGAGGAAGGGGCAGTAAAGAAAGAAAGCAGAGAGAAAACTGATGAAGGACTCTTAAGTACCAAGCTATGGCTGTAAATTACTGCAAAAAATCTTTCATTTTTAATTAGTAATGAAAGAGCCTCTGAAATCCCCAAAGATATAAAACATGTATTTACATGTAACATTATCCATACATCTATGTAATATAAATTCAAGGACCATAGCATTTTGTCTCTTATTATTATGATAAAAACCATCTTCAATACTTGGATAGTCCTTTGTCTTACATGAAAATTTAATAAGATCAGTAATTTACATAGTTAAAAATGAGTATGTCTGCACTTACTTGTGAGTATAAAGTATCTCTTTACTGTTTTATTAATGTTTGGAACATGATGCTTAGTTATCCCCATTGTATGTACCCTCTCTTCCTTCTCTGTGGGAAGGAGGGAAGGACAGATGTGAGATTATTTAATAGTGCTTAGGGATGTAGCCATGGACCATTGATTTTAAAATATTTTTAATCAGCTTGAAGACAATGGAGAGCTAACAGTGAGGAATCTCTGGGCGGATATCTAAGAAGACATACTCAGAGAGGTGATTCTGGCATTTGCAGCCTCCTTTTTTTCCCCCTGAAGGAATGTGCATATTTTAGAATATGGGGCTGAAAAGCTGAGTGATGCTTTCACCAGCTTTGTAAAACTAGGGGGACAAAAACTAGAGTCAAGCTGGAGGCCCTGGTAAGCCTCCCCAATGTGGGTTGGGGCACCAACCCCTAGTTGGGACTAGGGGCGCCTGGGTCGCTCAGTTGCTTAAATGTCCAACTCTTGATTTCAGCCCAGATCCTGATCTCAGGGTCATGAGATCAAGCCCTGTGTTGGGCTCTGTGTTCAGCAGGAGTCTGCTTGGGATTCACTCTCTCTCTCTCTCTCTCTCTCTCTCTGAAATAAATAAATAAATCTTTTACCAAAAAAAAAAAAAAAAACAAAAACAAACAAACAAACAAAAAAACATGTACCTAACTCATCTGGTTCACAGCTGGAGAGGAATTTGCCTCAGGATGAATCATACCCTGACCCTCACCCATACCTGATTTAGAGGATATTTAGATGAGACTTAGCTGATGCTCTAATGAGTTAAGACTTTGGGGGCTATTGGGATGGAATGGTGAGAAGGACATGAATTGGGGGGTAGGTGTGGAGTACTACAGACTTGTGTCTTTCCAAAACTCAGATGTTAAAGCCCTAACCTCTAATGTGATGATATCTGGAGATGAGGGCTCTGGGAGGTAATTGGCTTAGATGAGATCATCAGGGTGGGTCCCCTATGATGGGAATGGTGCCCTTCTAAGAAGAGACACAGAGAGCTTGTCCTCTCTTTTTCCCTGCCATGTGAGAACAGGCCAAGAAGACAGCCATCTACAAACCAAGAAGAGAGTTTGCCCCAGAAACCGGCCATGCTGACATCTTGATCTTAATCTCCAGAACTGTGAAAAAATGAATTTCTGTTGTTTAAACTCCCCAGTTAAGGTATTTTGTTAAAGCAGCCGAGCTAACACACTTATGTTTAAAGAGATAAAAGTCAACATTGAAATTTTGAGGAGAATTGGAGATGATACAAATGATATAGCAGATTTCTACTGTAAAATAGAAATTCTAGATTCTCAAAATATAGTAATGAACATGAGAAACTCAATGAATGAATTTAAAAGCAGGATAAATATAGCTATGGAGAAAACTAGTAAATTAGAAGATAGGTCAGAAGAATTTGTACCTAGAAAGAATAAAGGAACAAAAAGGTGGAAACTACAGAGGAGATGCAAGGATAGATGTAGGATAACTTAATCATTAGGAAGAGACCAGAGGATAGTAGGAGTGGACCACTGATTCAAGAAATTTGACTGCTAAGAGAAGAAATATGTAGAGAAATCCTGAGTTTATAAAAACCAATGAGAGACTCAGTATTTATAACAAGCCTTCTTTTAAAAAAAAAATTTTTTTTTAAAGATTTTATTTATTTATTTGACAGACAGAGATCACAAGTAGGCAGAGAGACAGGCAGAGAGAGGGGGATGCAGGCTCCCCGCAGAGCAGAGAGCCCATGCAGGGCTCAATCCCAGGACCCTGGGATCATAACCTGAGCTGAAGGCAGAGGCTTTAACCCACTGAGCCACCCAGGTGCCCCTATAGCAAGCCTTCTTAACCCCAAGCAGAAAAATATTAAAAATCTATACCTACATATATTTTAATATGACTGCTGAAAACAAAAGAAAAAAATCTTTATAAAGTTTTCAGGGGAAAAGGATGTGAATTGTATTCAAGACAATAATTAAAAATTAAAGAGCAATAATTAAACTGAAGTTGACTTCTGACCTGAAAATAATGGAGTGATAGCTTCAAAATGCTGAAATAGTATAATAACATAGGCTTCTATACCATGCAAATATATCCTTCAAGAATGACAGTGAAAGACATATTCAGATAAATGAAACAAAATTAGTCACTAGGACATCTTCACTACAAGAAATTACTAAAGGGTGTTTATCAAATAGAAGGAAGATTATCCCAGTTGGAAAGTTGGATATAAAGAATATGTGGATATTTATTAACTGCAAAAAAAAAAAAAAAAAAAGAAGAAGAAGTAAAAGCAACACTGGTGACATTACAGTTACACAGCATAAGTAGTGCAAGAGTCCAAAATCCGTGTGTGGGCTAAATTGTTGTAAGGCATTTGCTTTATCTAGAAGAGGGATAAAGTGTTATTTAGCATTATCTTTGATGACTCAAGGCAACAGTCCGTAACGTCTAAGGTAACTTCTAAAGCACAGTAGAAAGATGTATGACACTAAACTAATAGAAGAAAATGGAATAAAAGTCCCACTCAATATAAAAGGAAGATAGAAAGGAGAGGAAAAGGAAACAAAACCAATAGAAAGCACTGAATAAAATGGTAGGTTTTTATTGTGGATTCATCATTAATTTATATTAAATGTAAATAGCGAAATGCCCAAAGTCAGAATTTGTCAGACTGAATAAAAATAAATGCTGTTTGTAAGAAGCATATGCAAAATCTAAATATACAGAATGCTTACAAGTTAAAGGATAAAAAAAGATACCATGAAAACATCATCCACAGGAAAGCGGGAATAACAATATTAGTATTAGACAGAGAGGGCTTTAAAGCAGAAAACCCCACTAGACAAATGAGGGTCACTTCATAAAGATAAAGGTTTTAATTTATTGGGAAGGTTTTAGTCACAAATAGGAATGTATCTAGTAACATGGCCTCAACCTTTGTAAAGCAAATGTAATAGCACCACATAGAGAAACAAATCCAAAATAATGCTAGGAAATTTTAATCACTATCAGGAATTGGTGGAGCAACCAGAGGAAAAAAAAGAAATGGAAGGTTTGAAATACATAATTAAGAAATTTGCCTAATGGACATTTATAGAATATTACACCTAACAACTCCAGAATGCATACTCTTTTAAGAATACACACAACAAACTTGTACAAAAACTATTTATGGTCATAAGGCGAGTGTCAACCATTTCGAAAAAAGTTGAAATCCTGCAAAGTGTGTTCTTTGATAAAAATGCAATGAAACGGGAAATCAATGACAAGATAATTCTAATATGTTTGAAAATTAAGAAATACAGATATAAATAATCTGTTCATCAAAGAGAGTGTCATA